GGAATGAAAAGTATCTATCAGCTACATAGCTGTTAGGAATATTTTTAAATTTAAGTTATATTTGGAAATAAAGCAATCACTCTCTCCAGTGACTTCTAAGATGGTCAAATGCAAAGAACCTCCCTTAAATGTTAACATGTAACTGTTTAGCGAGGTCCATCATAAGGAGGCTTTTTAAGGAAATGTTTGGTTCATAATTTGGTTAAGCAAGTTGTTTCTAGGAATGTATGATTAGCTAAAATTGCTGATGGTGTATTTTGTAAAATGGTAAATACAGGGCTATAGTTATTTAAGTATCTAGGAAGAAATCTGGGCCATACCTTGGTTAGAAATTTCTCATATCCATGTAAAATGGTGACAAGTTAGCTAAAGATAGAAATGAAACCCTCAAATTGATTGTTAAAGTTGAAGGAATTATCTGGAAGAGAAAAAGGGAAAAGAGTATATAGTAGATCCAAAAATGGCGTTGGCAATTTTTACCACCTAAGTGCTTAGTATGAATCACTGTATATTCCTACTATGGGGCAAATGGCTTCAGAGGTTAGCAATACTTAAAGTTCATCTCAGGGTACTAGAAACTAAGAACTAATTTAAAAAAACAGTTTGATGTATTTGATTTGAATTGCAGTTTATGACTTTAACTATGAATAATATTAGCTCTGTCAAAGTTGGTGTACTTTTAAATTATACAGCAGTTACTTAAAGGATGTTTATGTCAGATGGTAAAAGTTGCCCTTACTTGAATGAGATGCCTAAAGGGAGATGAATAAAGCCATACCCTCACACACTGTGAGATCAGTTATCCAGTATTTATTTAGCTCTGATTTTAAATTTAGAGCTCTTGTAGCTTAATGGTAAGTAAGTGTGCTGCCAACCCAAACATGCAGTTATTGTTGCTATGTGCTGTTGAGTCGTTTGCAACTCATAGCGACCCTATGTTGAGTCATTTGCAACTCATAGCGACAACAGCCCTAAACCCTGCTCTATCCTGTGCCAATCGCACTGCCTCTGACACACCCATCCCGATTACACCAGACACTGAAGGAAAAAGATGGGGAATCTCCTCACATGTGATTTACAGCCTTTGAAAAGAAAACCCACTGGAACATCAGCTATAAGTGTGTTCTGACTTGACTGGAATCAACAACAGATGGTAATAACCAAACTAATGCACCTACAATTTAGTTTATTCTATCCATAGAAAGTCAAACTATGTCTGATTAATAAAAAGAACCAACCCACAACAAAACAACCCAAATTCTTAGCTATTAAGGCAGAACTGAGGCATAGCTGACCCTCCAGAGGATTTCTGAGGCTACAAAGCACACGAAAGGAGCTTGTTCATTTCCCCCAGTAGCCATTGGTGCATCTGAACCACCAGAAAAGTATGGCCTTTGGGTTAGTAGCATAATACACTAAGGACTACACCACCAGCACTCCTTTTCCTGCTACAATCTGATCAGATGCTGGCCATTAGAATAGAATGATTAGATGCTTAAAAAATTTAATATGCACTTGGTCATAATTTAAAAACTGCAACTGATATTCTAGAATTCACAGAGATTTTATTTTTATTCTTATAATAAATGAAATTATATATATATCTTAAGTATATTAAATGATAATAATACTTTAAAGCTCAAGCTTCAGATTTATTCAAACCCTTATGTGGACTATAAAGGGAGGTTCAAAATCTGATTTGTAAGAAACTGATACACACAGGAGAATTTCTGTGAACAGATATTGCTTCTAGATAAGAGTTTGCACTGTGCAGGTAACTAAATTTTCCATAGACATTATGAGTACAAATACATAGGAAAGATTTTTAGGTGAAATATTAATTGAGAAAAAGAACTCTTGGTTAACACATGATAATGGGAGCTTCTTATGGCTGGAGTAAAGTGGGAAGAACAGGAATGCCTAACCTTCTCCAATGTGAGAACAGACATGTGGATCAGTCATAGCACGAGAGGAAAACTTTTGCCTCATGTAGCAAAAGGTGAAAAATAAGGCATAGTACTCGAAAAGAAGTCTTGATTATTAAGTACAAAGAGTCCCACATACTATTGCCCTAAATAAAGTAATAATTTGTCCCTGCATGAGATGTATAATAGCATTAATACATTACCTCGTTTTCTAAAGTGAAATGTCAATAACATCAGTATAGCCAATACTCATCTGTTAGTTTGTTATACTGTGGTGGCTTGTGTGGTGTTATGATGCTGAAAGATATGCCAATGATATTTTTAAATATCAACAAGATAACTCAGAGTGGACAAATTCCAGTAGAGTTTCCAAACTATGAAAGACTGGATAGGAAGTAAGACTATCATTTCTCAAATAATGAGTCATTGAAAACTTTTACCCATTAAATGTTTTTACCCATTAATGCTTTTACCCATTGAAGAAACGTCATTTGCTGATGTGGCATTACTCAAACTGAGGAGAAACAATTACAAACACCTATAAAGAAATGGAAAGTAGAATATACAAAATAAGAACCTAGAATTAATCATGGAGTTGCACAATTTGGGGGTGGGGTGTGGGAAACTGGAAGAATTTCGTCTGAAAAACAATGTATTTGAATTTTGTAACTAAACGAGTATAAATAGAAAAAATTAAAAAAATATGAATCTAGGAAAATTAAAAAAGTAAAAAAACTAAATGAAATGTATGAAGAGCTATATACTAGGCACTACTGAGCTGGGTTAGATTGTTATTTGCCATTTCAAATCAGCAAGTGCCAGGAAGGATAAACTGAAGAGGAATGCTGTTACATTCGCTGCTAAAAAGAACACTTAAAGATCAATTCTATCAGTGATAGAATAATATCCAAACATACACAGGGAAGACCTGGTGGCAATGTAACTATTATTCAAATGTATGCACGAAACACTAAAGTGAAAGATGAAGATTTCTCCAGTCTAAATGGATCAAACATGCAATCAATTAGCATTTATTAGTGACTGTTGTTGTGGCTATGTGTCACTGAGTCAGAACCAAGCCATAGCGGACTCTCCAATGGTTTACAGAGGCCGTATATTACATGGGAGGAGATTGCCCACGCTTCTCCCAAGGACTAGCTGGTGGATTCAGTTACATTTGGGATTGCAGCTCACCTTCTTACCACTAGGCCACCAGAGCTCCCTACTTAAGGATTGTTGTTGCTGTTGTTACGTGCTGTCGAATCAAACATGACCACAGCGACCCTGTGAACAAAAGCTCTGAAACCTGTTCCGTTCTGCACCATCCTCACACTTCCTGACACACAAGAGCCCATTTCAGCAGTCACCATGTCAATCCACCTGCTTGAGGGTCTTCCCCGCCTTTGCTGACTGTCCACCCTTCCCAGCATCCACCAGCTGTCCCATGGGAGAAAATGGGCAATCTCCTCCTGTGCAATTAGCTGCCTCTGAAAACCCACTGGACGGTCAGCTATCGGTCAGTTCTGACCTTGTGGTACACACAACCACCACCACACACACACACACACACACACACGTTGTTGATTGCCTTCAAGTTGCGCACGACTCATAGCGACTCCATGAAAAAAAGGCCTGAAGCCCCTCTACAACCATCGATATTTATCAAAGTTCATAGAGTTTCTGGAGTCATGCTATTTAGGAAGTGGATGCCACTCCTATTTCCAAACCTGTCATAGTATGTTATTGTTGTTATGTGCCACTGAGTCACCCACGATGAATGAGCAACCCTATGTACAATAGTAACTCAGAAATTTTACAGTTATAACATAGCATAACCAGATGTTGAACTATATTCTAGATACTTTCAGGCTTTCAATTCCTACAACCCATCCATGAACCTACTATATGTTGTTGAGTGCCATTGACAACTCTCTTATGTATTTACTCATATATATTTATACATGTAATAGGTTCATGGATAGGTTGTAGGAATTTAAAGCATTAAGGTACCTAGAAGAGCATTCAACATGTGGTCATGTTATGCTATAACTGTAAAATTTCTGAGTTAATGTTGCCCCTTATAACTTGGAATTCTCTCTCTTACACAATATTTCCTCCTTTCTCTTGACATATATGAAGGGTAAAATCACAGTTCTTGACCTGCATTGACATTTTATTTAGATTTTAAGTGAATTTACCTCTGTGGTCTAAAGAGATTATAGCATATGGGGGGGGGAGGATGAAATAAAATTAAGTCTAAATCTAAAACTAGCTATGTATAACCCCTTGCAACATTTAAGTTCCTCATTTATAAGATAAATCTATATTTGAATCAACCTGGTATGCCACAGGATCAGCAAAATAACTTTTTAAAAAGACATGCTAGAAATCCATGTTGTCGAGTTGTATCTGAATCTGAGGTGACAAAGAGCAAAGAAAAATATCTGGTGTACACATGTTAACATCTTCACTAGTTGTATCTGAATCTGGGTAGATGTAGATCAATGAGAACTATTTAGTATATGCATGTTAATAATCTTCATTAGTAAATTCTATTTGCATTATAAACCACTGGTAGATGATTTATAAAATTCAAGTTATAAATTCAATATAATCATAAATATTTTACAGCATTAGATCCTCATATGGAACAAACTAGAATAGGGAATAATTAAAATAGTCCAAGAGCCTCCATCTATCAGTAGCAGCTTCTTTGCACACACTATATATCATTTCACAAACACCTGGAAATCCCTGCAGGATGTATGAACTACTTTCAATTAATCTTCACCAGCCTCTGAAACACTAATGAGAGTGTTGACCTTTGGGCAGGATATATTTTTAATAAATTCACTCAGCCATTATAAAATTAAATAACTGAATTTAGACTAGTGACTAGGAAAGTGACTGGACACCTGAGAAAACCCACCTCAGGCGGTGCCCTGGACATGACCATCCTGATCTGCAGAGATCTCTTTTGTTCTTAAGATACCACAAGTACAGGACAACGAGCGCATTTTATTTTATACTCAGTGAAAATCAATGCACAGTGAGGGTTTTAACCCTCTGGCTTACTTTGATTTCTTCATATACAACCAGTAGACGACACCAGCAACCAGAGCAGCCAGGAGGAGACCAACCACGATTCCCACAATTAGCTTTGCCTGGTCATTCACTTTTTCTCTGTTTTCATCTAAAACAAAGAAAAAAAACACCACACCATGCAATTACAGACAATGCAGAGGATTTTTTTTTTTTTATAAAAGAAAGCTATCTAGTTACTACTGTGGAACATGCCTAAGGCTTATTCTATGATAAATATGCAAACATGTGAGTATAAAGGGTAAAATTCTAGCATTCTTACTGCCTTGTCTCATTTGCTCTTTAAATCAAGTCAAATTTGTAGAGAGCTTAGATAATTACTGATAGAATAATAATTTATAAGTCTTGAGCTGACAGACAAGGGAGAAGAGTCGGCAGCATAGTACCTACCACTTATCTCGTCTGCCTCATCGTGTTCTCGAATACTTACTGAAATGAAAAATGTTATACGCAATTAAAAACCAAATTGTTGATATATGAAAGTCACCTTTACCATAATAATATGATGTAATATTATGAAACATAAAATTTCTATTCTACAGCTAAGGGTAATATATATGTATTAAAGAATGAACTTCTTTACCGAGGAATTAAGTCTCTTTCAAGAAAGATAAAACTACAACAGTGATTAATCGACTACAGAAAATTTCACAACCGAGAAGCTGCAGAAATCTGTATTAATTTCCCCTACTGTTTATACTTTTAATAAACCCAAAGCTTCAAGGCCACTGCTGTTGAGTCAATTCTGCCTCACAGTGACCCTCCATCTAGTTTCCAGGGCTCTGAGTCATGAGGAAGACAGCCCCACCTTTCTCCCGTGGAATGGCTGGAGGATTCAAACTGGCAACCTTTCAGTAAGCAGTAATTACACTAATAGGGCCATCTTTTCTTTTTCATTGATTTTACAAAAACACTTTTTAAAGTTGCATACAAATCAATCATATACATTGCGTTAACTTCAAGTATTTTGTGTTTTATATTTTCATTCATTTACATCGTATTTTATATAATTCATTACTATTGACCTATGCCTCTTCTCACCCTGTCTCACCAAGTCCCCACTGAATCTTTCCTGGTCTTTTACCCTTCCAACCACCTACTAACCTCTGTTCCCCGAGTGATTTTTTTCCCCCCTTTCCTAGTTTCCCTCCCTTCTCCCATTCCCTTTCTAATTGCAAACATTTATATATCTCTTGCTCAGCTATCTTCTTATTTTCACAACAGTGGTGTTGTATTTGTCCTTATTTGACTGAGTTATATCATTTAGTGTAATGCTCTCTAAATCATTCCATGTTATATAGTGTTTTATTACTTCATTATTCCTTAGTGCTGCATAGAATTCCATTGTGTGAATGTACAATATTTCTCAATCCACCCATATTATTCAGGTGTTCTGCTCCTAGGAATATATACTCCAAGGAAATCAGAACTGAGATACGAGTGGAGATATGTGCACTTATGCTCATAGCAGCTTTATTTACAATATAAAACAACAACAACAAAAAATGCCCAAATGTTCATCAACAAACCAACAGATTAAGATTCCTACCTTCTTTATTGTACTTCAGTTTACGTGAAAGCTTTTACCTTGTGTGGAAATCGACAATGCAGTCTTTATCAATTTTTATTTTCCTTCCTGCTCCAATATAATACAATTCATTTTCCTCCTCTAATTCTGGAATTTACCTAGAGAAATTCTTAAAGTGCTAGTGGTAAGAGTTTAAAATTGCAACTGCCTCACAGGTTAAGCAGTAAGATGTGTGATACTAGTGAAAGCTTTCTCAATGACTCTGACAAGCCACAATCTGGTTTCATTTTAATAATCATTGCTGTCACAGATTATATTCTGATATTAAACTATATATTCAATATTTGGTCCTTGAGTTCTCATAGAACTTTCTGCTATATATGTTAAATTTCAGGTCCCCTGATTTCTCTCAATTCACTGAACCTTAAGATAAGTATATGAAACGTTGATCAAGGCTCTCCATTTGTAAAGTAGAGAGACCCACTTACTGTTCAGTGGGCCAGAAAGAAAGGATAGGTTCCCTTTCTGGAAAGAATGAATCAATACTCATTGAATTAAATTCTTGAGAAGTCAATGCTCCTAGTTGAGGTTTACATTTGTTTGGTCCTTTTCTCTTGTCAATCCATCAGGTTTTTATATTTCACTCATAGTCTGTTTAGGAGCATTATCTAGAGACAATAATCTTGTCAGAGCTCCAGTCAATTGTTAGCCAGTTTGTCTCTGGCCTGCTAATATAACATACAATATTCTAACTGAACAAAAGAAGGACAGTTTGGAGGTTCAGTTAGTTTCTAGTCCAGAACCTACTCAATCCAGAAGGGATTCTTCAACTTGTCCAAAATCAATTTAGTTTAGTCCTGATATATAGTTAGCAGAGCAACAGAGACAAATATCAAATCTGAAAATCAAGATGATTTCACCTTAAATGACATTAATGTCCAGAAGTTATTAGCATGTTCATGCCACTTTTGTTCAGCTCTAAAATATTTTTTCACTTCACCTGGGATCATTTTCTTCACCCAAGTTTTGATTATGGCTTAAAGCTGACTATGACAAAAAGAACTGTTTCATAAATTCTACAAGCTTTGCCACTAATTTGCTGAATGAATTCAAGCATGTTGAATTCCCATATAAAATAAGGATGGGATAACGATCACACAAAATTGCAATGGAAAATAATAGATTGAAGGGAATTAAGATTGAACCAATTGATACTTAGGAGAAGATTTTTGATGCTAATACATGAAATGATTTCATTGCCAAGACAAGAACAGTGCAAGAATGGACACTGGGTGGTGGAGATGTGGAGCCGTTTGATGACAATGATACCAAATGCAAAAGAAATAAAGAAAACTTACCATAATGCAGAACAGGAAGATGGAATTGAAGATTTTTAAACTAATGAAGAATAACTTCAAATTTTCTTACTTTTTTTTTAAATGCCAGAAATAAAATACTCACTAGCAGAGACATTCAAGGAGTTTACTGTTTTCTCCAGCTGGTTTTCTGCTGTGCAAGTTAATGTAACATTCTCTTCAGGGGAAATGATAATTTTACTAGAATACCTGCCATTGACGTAAGGAGACTCCTCTGTCTGCAAAAAGAAGGAAGATATATTCAGAAATAGAAATGGATTTAAAAGTATTGGGAAGAGTAATGATATATGCAATAGGTTATGACTGTTTGATAATGCTGTCTGATGTCTGGATAGACAAAATTCAGGCTGACATACACAACAGGAAAGATGAAACTTAATAAATCCAGGAGATGGTATTAATTTATTATTCTATTGTGACTTCTAATAAGTTGTTATGACTTCTCATAATTCTAAATTAAGCACTTCTTTTTTTAAATAGATGCTCATATTTAGTCAATATTTTGACAGGATGACACTTAACTCACAATTATTAAATAGTGATTATTCTAATCAGTAGTTTTCCCTAAACACACTAGGAACTGTTTTTATTTATTCATTGTTCTGTTCTTCCCAAGAGTGGTTCTCATTTGTTTAGCTCAAACTATTAAACTTAAATGCACTTGTATGTGTTATTTGCTGTTGTTAGGTGTCTACTTGGTCTGACTCAAGAGGGGGCTCACAACTCTGTGTGCAACAGAGCGAAACATTGCCAGGCTGTCCCATCCTCACAATTGTTGCTATCTTTCAGCTTACTGTTGCGATCCATCTTGCTGACAGGATCTTCTGCTTTTTTATTAATCCTCTACATTTAAATAGCGTGTCTCCGGAAACCCTATGAACCTGGAGAAAGGATGAAAGTCACGCAAAAGTGTCGAGGACTTTCGTTCATAGGGTCAATATGAGTCACCTACGACTCGACAGTGCTTAACAATATAGAGAGAGACTAGTTGGCCAAGTGGACTGAAAGTGATGCTACCAAGCCAAATGTGGGTGACTCTAATCCACGGCCCCAAGGGCAGTCTTTAATTGTTGGTGAAACATTCTTCTAGGTTGTCTAGCCCTGGTGTGTCCACTTGCAGTACAGAGGTAACCTGTGGTCACTGTGAAGCTGAACACTGCGACACTGATGAGTCAAATGCGATAATGGTTACCCATGGTGGACAGTGTTTGGTGGTGCTCCCTGGCTGAAACAAGCTTGGAAGCAGGAGTGGCATCCACTTCCATAAATAGTTTGCCTCTGGAAAACCCTATGAACCTGGAGAAAGGATGAAAGTCACGCAAGTGTCGAGGATTTTTGTTCAAAGGACTGCTATAAGTCGCCTATGATTCTAGGCACTAAACAACAACTTTTTAAAAATGGGGATTTTAATGAAAATTTAGAGAAAATTTAGATTTTAATTTTATTGTTGCACATTTTTCTCTCTACCCATCCCATTTCACTTAAAAAAAAATCACTCACTGTTGAGTAACTTCCTCCCTCCCCCACCCCCATTCCACTGTGCTGTACACTTTATTCTGGACTGTTATACAAATAATATCTAATCATAGATTCCTTTTAAATAGCTCTTTCCTTCATCTGTTCCAATGCAGTGTTCATTATTTATCCCCTCTTTTCTTATTTCCTCCTAGCCCCTATATCAGTGCTATTTTATAACAGTGGCAGTATACAGTATTTTCCCTTTTGTTACTGAGATATTTCATTCAGCATAATGTCTTACAGGGTCTTCCATGTTGTATAATATTTTATGAGTTCCTTGTTTTTTAGTGCTGCATAATATCATACCATTGTGTGAATATAATATGGCTTCTCTATCCATTCATTTGTTGATGGGCACTTGGGTTGCTTCCATCTCTCTGCTATTGTGAATAATGCAACAATAAAAATGGGTATGTGTATATCTGTTTGGGTGGCAGCTTTGGCTTCTTTAGGGTATATTCCTAGTAGTTAAATTTCTGGGTCAAATGGTATTTTTAACTTTTTGAAAAAGCACCATACCACCTTCCATAGTATTTGCACCATTTTATACTCCTACCAGCAGTGAATAAGAGTTCCAATCCTTCCACAACCTCACCAGCATTAGTTGTTTGATAATCTTATACTTTTCAAGCATGATGTCCTTTTCCAGAGGTGGTTTCATACTGGTAAGAAGTAAAAAATATATGAGAGAAATTCTTGTCATTCTCACTTCCAAGAAGTATTATGGCTTGGTGATATTACTTTTTTTTTTTTTTAAGTACTGAAAGTCCATGGTATATTCCATATTCTTTGCCAACACCATACTTCAAAGGTATCAAATTCCCTCTGGTCTTCCTTGTATGTTTTTAAGATGATGTACAAAAATTAGATAATTGAAAATATTATGGCTTAACTCAGACACACCTTAGAACTCAATGAAATACTTGTTTTTCATATTCTGCAGCATGTTTATGCAACAGACTAAATTAAAAAAAATTTCTTAACTGCTGTTTCCAAGGGTATTAGATTGTAGATCCAAGAATAATGAAATGAAACGCTAGACTTCAATTTTCTCTATTTTTATCATGATCGTGTTTACTGATCTAGCTTTAAGGATTTCTGTTTTCTATATGTGGATGTGTAATCTATATAGAAAGGTGTAGACTTTGATTGTCACTTGCAGCAAGGATGTTGTGTCATCCATTAGGAAGCCTTTCTCCAATTCTGACTTTTATTCTAATTTTCATTCTTCCTCATATAGTACAGCTTCTTGGATAATTGATTCAACATCCAGGTTGAATAAGGATGGTTAAAAGATACAGTACACAAATGTTTCCTGATTTTAAGCCAAGCACCATCTCCTTTTTTTATTCCCCCTGTATGAATGCATACTTCTTGGCTTATAAACAAGTTCTGCATGAGTACAATTCAGTATTCTGGAATTCTCATTCACTGTAATGTTATTCTTCATTTGTTATGCTCCATGCACTCATATACAAGGTTATTTTTAGTATTCTCTGCCTTCAGTGAATATCCATTTGACATTAGCAATGATGCCTCCATTCCACATCCTCTTTTGAACCTAACTTTAATTTCTGACAGGTCCCTGCTGATGTACTTCTATCATGGTGTTTTAATTTTCCTTGGCAAACTTTATTTACTTTTGGGATAATGATGATATTCTGTGGTAATTTCTACTTTCTGTTGGGTCATTTTCTTTTAGAACAGATACAAATGTGAGTTTCTTCCAGTGAGTGGGACAGTCTTCTCTATTTCTTGTCATAAAAGAGTAAGTCCTTTTATTAGTGCATTAACTTGTTGAAATATTTTGGTTGGTAGGCTGTGAATTATTAGAACCATGGTTTTTGCTAATTTTTTTTTTCAGTGTAGCTTGAACTTCTTAATTCAATACCATCGGTTCTTGAGTACATATGTTGCTGTTGTTATGTTTTGTTGAGTTGAAACTGACTCATAGCTAAGTTAGTTTTTCAGAGGCAGTAAATTGCACAGAAGGAAATTTCCATCTTTCTCCCACAAAGCAGATGAGATTGGAATTGCAGGTCTCTTGGCTGGCAGTACAACACTCACTAACCTCTTTTTTGGGGGGGGGGGATTGGAGGGGTACCATGCATTCCTTTCAGCTTCCATTGGTAATTTCTGTGTTATTCAGTATCTTGGTCATAGTATTCTTCAAATTTGCACCTCAAGGCAAATTTCGTTCTTTAGCTCTTTCATCATGAGAGATCGCAAACGTGTTTTCCATTTTGGTTTTCTAACTCTATAACTTTGCATAGTTCATATTTATTCTTTTACAGCATCATTTAACATCTATCATTAGTTCAGCTCTTTTTTGTCATCAATTCTTTAGTTTGCTTTCACTACTCAAGGTTCAAAAGCAAATTTCAGACTTTCTTCTGCCATCAAACTTGCTTCCTGTTTTCTCCTGCCTTTCAAATATTTTTTTCTTTCTTTCTTCATTCTGATGCCCTCGATAACATCCCAAAGCTCATGGTGATTCTTGAAGCAATCTCTGGGTTCAGGTAAGATATACTCAAGATCCTATCTAGGCTCTATTATACTTGTTTTCATTTTCTTCAGCTACAACTTGAACTTCTTTAAGAACAACCGACCTTTTCCATAGTCATTCTCTGGTCTTGTTGTGATAGTATTGATAGTTTCCATTGCTCTTTTTATAGATGCCGTTTATTTATGTTATGTTTTTATATGCCATCACCTCAATTAGTGACCCTCTGAACAATAGCTCTGAATCTTGAGCTATCCTGAGCCAATCTCACCACCTCTATCACACATGCTCCATTGCCACAGTCACTGTGTCGATCTGTCTCAACCAGTCTCTGGACTGACAATGTTGCTCTTTAGCATTTTGGAGAGATCTGACAGCAGACCCATCTTTTCATTTCCTGTCTGATAGTGCCAAGAGTATATTATATATTGTACTATATAATGTTTTGTTATATCATATTATAATACAATTATGGCATCTGTATGTGTGAGTTACCAAAGGCTAAACTAAATGATTTTCATTCATTTTCCTGACCTAAATGTAGAAGGGAGCTCTGGTGGCTTATACCTTAGAGAACTGCCCATATCAAAAGATGATACTTTACCTGGAGCAAGAGGGGCAATTTCCTGTAATATTTACAACTTTGAAACACAACAGAGGCTCCGCTATGAGTTGGAACTGATTAGAAGGCAAAGAATGAGTGGGTGAAATGCAGAAAAAGGTTGCTGTTTTAGTGGTTCTCAAATTATTTCTTTCAAGGTGTTGATGTGGACAAACACTGCTGTTATTTCTCTAAATTTAACTTTATTTTCTTCCATGAGCCAACTTGATTCATAACTCCATCACCACATAAGCAAGTAAGAACTTGAGCTCTTTTTTCAATTATATTACACCCAAGTGCCCTATATTTTTCTTTATAAGCTTTTTCCTTAACTACATTGTAAGCACCTTGAGGACATGATTTGGGATAGCTTCTCCTCTGCGGGATGTGTGAGAAAGATATCTAGTAGATGTAAAATAATAGATTCACCATGTGGTTTTGAAGAGAAAAAATAAAAGATTATAGACGGGTCAGCACAAACCTAAAACAAGAAAAATAACTTATCACCTAGAGGGAAAGAATCAATCCTTCTCTTTGACAGTGAAGAATGGCATTATTATTTTTATCCTCATGTAAAGTCACCTGCTATTTTTCCACTTCACAGCAAGACTTTTACGGGGGATTCCTTACCCAAGTCTTCATTTTTGGTTACTTTATCTTCACAAAATGTATTTAAAGATTTTACGAATGGTCTTTTAAAACTTTTCATCTCTTCATTCACCAAATATCTCTTGTGTGCTTAATTTTTTCCATTTTATATAACTGCCTTATTAGTAGCTAAAGGTTATTTTTGCTGTGTTTATCATTAAATGAATTACAGAAGAAAAAAATAATAGAGTAAAATAGGAGAAGTAATTTCTGATGTAAAAAAACAGATTTGTAAATTGTAAAAAATTAACGTGGCTCAAGCCCTTATTCTCTGAAGAAAACTGTATTTCCTCAGTGCTGAAAGAGCCAGAACTCCATTGTCCTTTTAAATGTCTACTTCCAAACTCATCCAATAGAATCAGTAGTAATTTTCTTCAACTGTGCCTATTCCTTGGGGGCTTTCCACATCTGAAGCTATTTATGTGTGTGGGTTTACACACACATATATAAAGTATATATATCCATATGTAAAAGATTCAAAACACACTTGGTATAACCTGAACCAGTGGCATACTAAAAATGGACAGAGAAAAACTATAAAGTTTAATTTAAAAATTAAACAGCACATCTTTGCTTTATGCTTTTCAAATTTCATTTGGGTCCAAAGTTGGGAAAGTAGCTCCTAACATTCAAATAATTAATGGTACCTTTAAATGACCCTAGAGTCATTAACTGGCTTCACTGAAAAGAGGCTATATCAAAACAGTTGTAGACAAAACAGACTAAACAGTGGTGTCAATAACCTAATCAGATAGGAAGTTTAATGCAATTACAACTCTAAACTACTGCCAGACCAGATTCTTATCACAGGCATACACATTTGAATGTTAAGTACCAGAATAACTTCTTACCTATCTACATATAAGTTTGTAATGCAAGTTTATATCTTAATGCTTTAATGGCTCAAGTCGCAACTATTAATTAGCCTAGAATAAAACCAGTTTACATTCTTTTAACAACAGATACTGACGCAACATAATGATTCTTCCATTATCCACGATCCTAGAATCCAAAATTTCTTTTTGGGTGATAACCTTTTGGAGAGCATGTTAACAAAAGCTTTCTCTGAGAACATTCTGAGAATATTATGCTTGTAAGAAACCTGCCTCGAGCTACAGTCCTCAAATAAAACCCCACTTTTGGATAAGGTACGGTATATAAGACGACGACAGATACTTGCTTGGTTTATGACGCTTCCGCTGCCAGTGATGGTCCACTGTATAGCTGGTTTTGGAAAACCTTCCACATGACAGGTTATTGTTTTAGACAACCCACTGGGATCAGTTTTCTTTGTCATTTTGATTTGAGGTTTTCCTAAAATTCCATTATAATAGAAAGAGAGTGTTGAATTGAGATTACAAAAGATACATAGTCAAAGAAAAAGGCTGAATTTCTGTCCCAAGATTTTCTTACCTTCTACGACGAGAGTCAATGATTCTCTTTTCTTGAGCCCTTCAACCTCTTGCAGAGCAGTTTCACAGACATAGTTTCCGGCATCCTGATACCGAAGACTGGAAAATGATGGGCTGGATCGGAGCCTGACGTTATCCTAATTATTTGAAAAAGTGAATTATGTCACAAGGCACAATGATAACCTCATTAAATGTGTGACATGGTGATTATCAGAATGAATAAGAAGTTGTGGTAGAGTAATGAGGATGTGACCAAAAGAACTCTCTAGCAGTAAGAAAGAAACTAACAATGGAAGTAGAATAAAAAGTGTTGAAAACCTGGTAATACAGCAATAGAAAATAATTCATATTGTTATTAAGAAGACAGTCTTGCAATACATTTCCCTAATGTATTTTACAAAGGAACTTTCAACCCCCATTTCTAAAGGGTTTTTAAAGGGCCATAGTCATATCGTTTTTAGTCATAGCCTTACCTCTTACATCATTAATTACAAATCTTACTTTCTCACTCTAAAGAAATAGCAGTGTTTTGATATCGATGTAATGGCTTACATTTCAGAAAATTACAAGAATATAAGCCTTCACTCAGGAAGTACTGACTAAACTTCTAGTATGTTGCAGACATTCTGCCACGGCCCAGAAAAGAAAAGAATCGTATTTTCAAGGTAGTCTTAACTTTGTGGAATCTGTAGAAGCAGACAGGCATTTGACTGCATAACTCTTAAACTCAGTCAGGTCTGAACACTAATCTCTCTGTCATTTATGAGCTTTCTTATTTCTCTTGCCTCAATTTCTAAAGGAGTCTCTTCATTCCCCTCAACTCTCTCTCTATCCTTCACCCGCCAACTCCTAACCCTAATTGCGTAGTCCACAGGGAGTTGTGCAGCTAACCTCCTATGAAATATCACTTAATTCTGGCACTTCGAATCCACCAGAGACTTTGAGTGAGAAGAACTGGGATTCAATTCCCATGGGGAAATGTAGATGAGGATCCACTAAATTGATTCCAGTTTCACATTAATGAGCTTTTAGATTCACTTTCTCATTGCCCCTGAGTGGGTTCCAATTCCTATCTCATATTCTGTTGAATTTCCGCAACTGTAAGGTAGACTACCTATCTTTCTCCCATAGAGTGGGATTTGAATCTCCAGAGAGGTGATGCTTTTGGTTTAACAGTGCAACTCCCTATGGATTGAGCCACCAGAGTTCCTTTCTTTAACAGTAACATGGAAAAAAATAATAAATGCTCTGTGTGTATCAAGGGTTATTGTAACAATAAATTGAGGCTATTATAGCCTCAACTGTAAATATCTAAATATTTTGGATAAAGGATGAAGAAAAAAGATATCTTTTAATCCAGCCTTATTACATATTGCTAAACCTTAATGAATATAATGATAATTATATATGAATGTTTACTATAAATATTTACAAACTAGGCTCGCAGATATTGGCCTACAGAAGAAAGATGGGCAATCTGATCCCAGTCAATTTACTGTCTCTGAAAACCCACTGAAGGGTCAGCTATGAGAAGTATCTGACTCAACAGTAAATTACAACAACATATATAAATTAATGGCATAGACTATTTTCAGTTAAGGATATAGCACTGTTATGGAGTAGTTATAAAATTATATTGGGACTTTATTTTCACGATTAAAGAGATGTTGAGCAACAGAGTATTTAAAGTGTGTTTGAATTTGTTTGTGTGTTAAAGAGCCCTAGGGGTCCGATGTGTAACATATCAGAGTGCTAATTGAAAAGGTCCTCAGTTCGAATCTATCAGCAACTTCAAGGGAGAAAGATGGGCAACCTCTCTCATAAAGATTTACAGCCTCAGAAACCCAGTGGTTTCTATGAGTTGGATCTGACTTGATAGCAGTGGGTTTTGATTTATATAAACAAAATATCCATGTTTTTTGTTTTTTTATAAGATGCTGAAGAAACCTAAAGAGGAATCCGATCTAACAAGGAAGATAATACCAACCAAGACCACTTACTTTCATCCATACTACAGTTGCGTTCCTACTGGCAGATACAGTGCACGAGACCGGCAAGGCATCTCCGATCTGCCTGGTTACATCCCCACTTGGATTTAAGGACAAATCCAAATCTGTGAAGTAGAAAATCTGTTTGAAAGGCATGCTCCAGTAAGTCAAACTGTGAAGATCTTTTGGATAATAAAGGATGGAGAAAAAAAGAAATCCTTCTAACTGCTCTTGAAAATGCAAAACTGATTTAAAAAACGGAAGTAACTGGTCTATATCATACTCAGCCTTATTTTCAAGTCTACGTTGATGTTAACATGAGTGGTCTATTTAATAATCATGTATTTATTAAGAGTTAATGTGATTGCTATGCTGACTGTATATAAATATCCTAGGGTCTATTTCCTTAAGGAAAAAAATACGTCACTTTTAGAAGAAAATAGAGAAAGATGATGACAAATATAAAAAAAGTTGGTAAATATTATGCCAGAACATCAAGAATATTTAGATTTCAGGGGATGTAAATGGTAAAACTACAAGACAGTCTGTTTCTTCACTGAGAATTAAGTGTAAGAGTTAAAAAATAATAAAAAAATTACTCCACTTCTTATATAATTAAGTTTAATTAAGATCTATTACTGATAAGTACACTGTCAGCAAACAGGATATTTTAAAGTACACAGTAAAGACACATCTAAGAATTTAGAATCCAGCAAATGAAACATAATTTCTAGATAAATCTTACTGTCATACTATGAAATGTATGAGAAAAATCCAATTCAATTTAACAAACATTTATTGTCTAAGTAGTACGTACCAAACATTGATAAGAGAAATGACTAATGGGCTTACAGTTTAATGACAGAAGATAATGTTCACTCAACTGGCGGTAAGCAAATAGAAAATATGAAATCAGCCCCTGGCGACAAACCTAGGACAGGCTAGTGGCTTAGTAAGTATTTGTTGAAAGATTGAGTGAAGGGCAGGAAATATACAAGCCATAGATCTACGGAATGGTGGGTGTGACACTCAACTGAATACACACTGTCTTGACATCTGATGGGAAGGCTTTGAATGGTTTACCCATAAGCTCTCATCACTGATCTGCCAAGTAAGGTCTGTTATTATTGTTAGGTGCCTTTAAGTTCATAGTGACTCTATGAACAATAGATCTGAACCCTGTCCTCTCCTGTGCCATTCTCACCATCTCTAACACACTTGTACCCAGTGCTGTAGCCACTGTGTAAATCGACCTAGTTGAATTTGTCCTTCTCTCTCTCCATCTATCAACCTTCCCAAGCATGATGTCCCTCTCCAATGAAAATCCTCTCCTAGCAACATGTCCAAAGTATGTGAGATGAAAGTTTACTATCTTTGCCTCCAAGGAAAAATTTGGCTGAACCTTCTCTGAGACATATTTGTTTTTGAGCAGTGCAAGGAATATTCAGTACTCTCCAACACCAAGGATCAAAGGTATCAATTCTTCTGAGTAAGCTCTACTACTAAATAATAATCCTAACGAAGAGTACCAGGAATATTCCTACTAATCCTCAAGCAGTGAGTTTCAATTTCATGCTCACCTACAAAATTATTCAAATGAGATTAAAAAAAATTTTTTTGTTTTAAGTTATTATTTGTGTATACCGTCAAATCAGATCTGACTGGTACAGGAGGAGATTGTCCCTCCTTCCCCAGCAAAGCATCTGGTGGATTCGAACTGTGTGCCTCTGGGATTGCAGTGCAGCTTCTTGCCACTAGACCACTAGGCCACCAGAGCTCCTTTTGTTGTCCTTTTGTTGGAAACACGAGGCCAGGACAACTTTCCCTCTTGATACACAAGGCTTCCCTCTCATTTCCTCTGGATATTCACCAAGAATCTGAACAAGTCTTCTAGGATCTGATCCTCTTCTTCTGAACTGTGAGTATATCTGATCAAGTAAACTACTGACAATCTCATGGGTGTTATCTCTATCATCTCCCATAATCCATGAGGGGGAATCTCATAAATAATGGGGTAAATAGAGGGACATTGTAAAATCAGAGTGTGGAGATTCTAAAACAAAGTGTAGAGAACAGGAGTCAAGCTGGGATTTAAAACAGTAATAAAGGCTTTGCATAGGAGGTAGCATCTGTCCATGGTCCCTGTGTTTGCATAGGACTTTGACAGATGGAGATCTAGGGGAACTTCTGTCAGGCAAGCAAAGGGGAGATAGAGTTTAGTTGACTTCACAATGGTAAGTAATTTCATTTGAATGGTGCCAGCATAGATAAAACTACATAATTAATAGAGACAGCCACACAATTATACAATTTCTATACCAAGAGCTGGAACTGAGATAAAGGGAATGTTTATCTCTTCTCTGCTTCTTTTTTTTCTTTTGCTATACATATTACAATCATTCATATGTCTCTCTATCATCTATCTATGTCTCTATCTATGTCTCTATCTATGTCTCTATCTATGTCTCTATCTATGTCTCTATCTATCTATCTATCTATCTATCTATCTATCTATCTATCTATCTATCTATCTATCTATTTTTGAGCACTGGTAACCTAGTGGCAAGAAGCTTTGCTGCAATCCCAGACACACAGTTTGAGGCCACCAGCTGCCTCCTGAGAGAAGGATGTGCAATCTCCACCCATGCGGTTAACTGCCTCTGATAACCCGCCAGACGAGACGATGGTACACAACAACAATAATAGGGGTTTTTAATATAAGTTTATTGTTTCAATGCAGATTTTTCTCCCCATAATTTCCTTCATTGACTGCCAATGATTGTTTCATACAATCTATTTTCATATACTGTGTTTTATAAAACTAATCACTATTGGACTAAGCCTACCATTACTCCATTTTATCAAGTCCATGCTGGATCTTTCCCATTTCTTTTCTTACTCCCTTCCTCTACCTACCAAATTGTGTGGCCCTGTGATTTTCCTCTTACTCATCCTCATTCGTCTGCTCCCACCCCTTCCTCGCTTGAACTCCTATACACATTTTACTGGTTCTACTATTTTTACAGTAATGATCTTATGCAGTATTCTGCAGATCTCATGCAGATTCATGCAGGCCTTATGAGGTGGAGTTAGTTCACTCATCATAGTGCTCCCAGTCTCTCCCAGATTATATAGTCATTTTCAAAATTGTTGCTCCTGAGTGCTGTGTAGTATTCCACGTGTGAAATAATAATAATTTCTCAAACCTTTTGGTTGTGTTCCGGCATTTGGGCAGTTTCCATGTTACCAGGGTATAAGCACCACGAGTGTAGGGTTCATGACTTGTTTTATTACTGGTGCATCGATAGCACCTGCCACAGGTGGTGAGTATTCAAATACCAATGTTGAATAAATTAAGGGATGAAGGGTGCTCTTTCTGTCTCTCAGCAACCTCTCTAAAAGAGTTCATCATTTCATATCCAAGTGGAGTTTCCTCAAAGTACTGAGTGAATTATAGTTAAAAAAATACCTTTATCCCATGTGACCTAGCAGCTTTTATGAGCTATAATCAGCTCCTGTGTTAATATGGCAATGGATACCTAAAATAGGTGATTTTTTAAGGATGGTGATGAAGTGCAGAAATTTTGATGAAGATTCTATATGTGCATGTGTACACAGAGCCGTAGTAGATGTTTCTTCAGTATCTATGGTTTGAAAACTCATAATGTTTCTGTTTTGCAAACTCACATTAATAATATTGTACTTCTCTACCTAAACTCCCTTTAGTTACATAAGGATAGAAAATGGGCAAAAATAGGGTTTTTATGTTTTCTGTTTATAAAATGTAAAAGAAAACATTTATTTACCTCCCTTAATTTTTCTTTTAGTGTTTAAAGCAACAAAGACTTCAATTCCCCAATGCTGCATTTTAGCTGACAAAATGGAAATATTTTTTTAAAAGTACTAAAATCTTTGTTAAAGTGTTTCAATCTTTTCAGTAATTATATTTCCTATATTTGATGATGACTTAAGTGTTATGTGACTATAATCAAGACCTTTGTCTTACTGCCCTGCCATCTATCTTTCCCTGGCTCATTTACAATTAATAGAAATAAAAAGCTGCTCAAGTTTAGGGATCCATGTAGCTAAGACATTTTAAACATAGCCATCTCTCAGGCACTGGATTACTGGCTATTGGGATGAAGATACCATGAACAATGCTATCAGAGAGCTAACCCACAGGCAAGTCTATTTGCTGGCTATATTCCATCCTTGCCCTTCTTTTTTTATGAGCAGCTCTGGGTAAATGGTGCCATGACTGACCGCTCCTAGGAGAAAAAGCTGCACTGTTGTTCATCTGAGAGGACACCACTGTCTTTACAAGTAGGCCCTGATGGCAGATACATTCAGATGCGTGCAACAAGAATATGAAACAGACAGAAAAATTGCCTGGCTGTGATTGTATTTTAACACGCCAATGTTTTCACAAGCATCCCTAGGGTGTAGCATCAATATCAAATACTCAGAAGCAGCCATTTGGTCCTGCTCCTTTCCAAAGCACCTTATAGCTCCTTTTAAAATTCTGCCTCTCTTTGTACTTAAATTTTCAAGACTTAGGAGTATGACAAAAGAATTAAAACCATTTTCGTAGGCCAATTTCTAAATTCTTCAATTCTGAAGACATATTTTTCTGTTTGAGGTCATGTCTAGAGAAAATGTGAGTGATGGTTCTGCGAGTGCAAAGGGAGTTAATAGAAAGTTAAGCTTATACTTTCAATGAGGAATAAGGCTTGTCCAGAGGACTATGTGCATCCCGAGAGTTTCCAGGGAGCAGTTCAAATCAGTGTCCTGTTTCCATAACTTTCTTTAAGTACATCAAGGATATGGACTATTGTGAATTACGCATTAAGATTTCAGTAAAATGCCCATTTTGTTTTTTTCCTCACACTTGGGTAAGTGTAGCTTTTCATTCATGTGTGAAGATTATTAATGTCAGGCTAACGTTAATGAATTAATAGAAAGGGATGTTTCAAATGATTCTGAAGATACTTAATTTCCAGAATTGGAAAAAAAAATTATTTTAAGTAGTCAACAGACAAATTTGAACAGTGTCCATATAGTCAAATTTTAGTGGTCTCTACTTATACTACTTTCCACTTTGATCTCTGGGGCTCAGTGGTAACGACTTTTACTGCCAATGAAAAGGTACATGATTTGAATCTACCTGCTATTCTGTTGGACAGAGATGGGAAAATCTCCTTCCGTGTGATTTACTGCCTATGAAAACCTGCTAGAAGGTTAGTAATGGGTTGTTCTTGCTCAATGGTATACAACAACAACAACAACAGTAACAGCTTCCCTCTGAGGAGCCTTAGTGGTACAGCATTTAAGCACTCAAATGCTAGTCAGGTTAGTGGTTTAAACTCAATAACTTCTCTGAAGGAGAATGATATCATGGTCCACATCTCTAAGATTTACAACATTATCTGTTCTATGGGGTTGGTCTACTTTATGTTTGGGGATAAAAATCCTGAGTAGATAGTAGCATTATGTTGTCTGAACTGGGTGGATAATATTATAATCTTATGAAAAGTTACTTATTCTATACCTTGTTGGGACATATGAAAACACTGTGAACTTTATGAGTATCTAAATATTTTCTTATAATAAATGGATTATTTATTTAAGATCCATGTAGATAATGTTTGTTGATGCTACAAATTGAAGAGATTTAGAAAGCAGATGGGTATTTACCACCACCAAATGTTGACATTATCAAATGTGGGCCAGGTTTAAACACTGTAGTGCAAACCCGGGCCAAAGTTGAGCTGACTGTCTTCAGTTAAGTCTATGGAAGGCAAGCAATTTAAGAGATAGCTACAATTCACTTGAAAACAGAGTAAAGTTGCAGTATTAGAGGCCTTTCGGGTGGCAGGTAATGAGGAAGGTGACTTACAGTGGACTGTGATGGCTGTTGAGGCAATCATGCTTTTTTTGTCTATCAGGGAGCATTTGTAGTCTCCTGTCGCATTGCGCCTCACATCTGTCAGTGTGTAAGTACTTGAGCTTCTTATTCCTTCAGGTTGGCCCTTTTTGATAGAGGAAAAATGTCAGATGATTACGCTTGTAGTTAAAATGATAACAATTTTCTTTCTGGATGAAGATGCTCTTTTTCAGTGAAGGGGGAAATGAAAGAGGAAAAGGGTTTCTTTGATTGAAAGATAAGATTATATAGCTTTGATCCCTGGAGAAACAATTAACATTTCAGTTCTACGTAGGCTGAAGCTAGCTTACATGGTACTTGAGATGTTTATGTTATTAGCAGCATGGCTAGTGCTTGAGATTTAAAGCAATCTAAACAATAATTCTAATATTTTCCTTTTTATATTAACACTTGTACTGAAATGTGTGAGAAAGCTTAAGAAAACATGCCAAATATCAAATCTTAAAAAAAAAAAATAGGAAAGAAGGAAGAAATAAATGAAAAGGAAGGGAAAAGAGAGAAAGTGAAAGAGCAAATGAAAAGGAAAAGACAAAGTCCATTAAAAAAATGAGATTAGGGAACACAGAGATTGCCTAGATGTAGGCAAGAAAAACCAGCTGCCAGATACTGTTGCTAAAGAGGAGAGTCAAATGTGTCTATAATATTCCTGATAGTCAAAATGGATATGAAATTATTTTAAAATTTTATTTGTACATGATACAAAAATAGCATCACACTTTAATGGTTTTCAGTCAATATCTAAGTTTCAAGAAACTACTTGTGCTAGTATTTTGGGTAAAGGAGAGGATGACATTCAGAAGTATATTCCTGCAGCAAATGAATGTCAGGGTTGTACACATCCATCAATGTGAAAATATGTCAAACCTGTCTCAAAGCAAACCGTTCTGTGGGAGAGCAAACAAGCGTTTTCAGTCAGTACTATCTCAACGTCAGGCTCCAAACCACCATGACATTTAGGATACATATTTGAGAAACATTCAAAATAATTCTTTATGCATATTATTTCTTTATGCTATAATTCTGATGGTCATTAAGACACTGACATTTCAAGATAACATGTTCTGACCAGAAATGGCCCACAGCTTTACTCTATCAGCCTACAAATGTCCAAGATAACATGCTCTATGTGAGAGAGACAGAGGTGTGGTCAGGATTTCGACGTGACATCAGACCACTCTGCTCTCATCCTTCCCTAAGTTAACAAAACTGTTATTGGAGAATGAGTATAAGGATCCAGGAGGGGTGGGAGAGGCTGGAAGCAGAAGGATGTGGATGTGCGGGGGAAAGGGGGATTAATCATTGGGTTGTACAATTTGATGGAGGGTGTGTGTGAAGGAAATGGAAAGAATTTCTTCAAATTTGTACTCAAATTTTGTAAATAAACTAGTAGGGAAAATGTACATGAATGAAACATACTGTAAAGGTATTACTATATGAAAATCAATAAAAAATATTTTAAAAATAAATAACCACGCAAAAAAAAGAATAGCATCTCATTGCTTCTTTAAGTAATTAAAACTTTTTTGAAATTATATTTTCCTGTGGTTAGTTTTTATTTTTGCTGCTCCTGAAACCTCTTAACATTGATGATTAAAAAAAAAAAGGTAAGTGCACTGAAAGATACTAGGAAGCTTCAAGGTCACATATCACATATAGGTATCTTTCATCTCCAAGGATAACAACCCCTTCTCATTTATTACACAAGTACCTACATTCTTAATGTCAACCACGTATCAAACAGCAGGACAAAATTTTAGTAATCTACTTCAAGTATTAAAACTTGAGCACTTACTGGCAAATAAAACAAAAACTCTTCAGGAGGTGGGTTACCATTTCCCAAACATTTCAGAGTAATATTGTCCCCTTCTTTGATGGCAGTTTTTGGTGGCAACACTTGTATTGTCACCTGTTCTGTAGGATCTGCAAGAATTAAATACAAGTTTACCATTTTTGTTAAATACAAAATTTCTATGTATACAAAATGTAAATCTTAAAACACTAGTAATAGTAATGAAATGTCTTTTTATAGATGGATTGACATTAATAACTACTTGCTGTAACAAGTACTAATCTTGGTTGTGAGGTATGCCAGAGACACTGTTATATAAAAAGAATTAAAACATAAAAAAAAAAATTTCTTTTTTACAAAATGTCTTTAGCTGATGTAGGAATAACCATAATCATTTTATGTATCAAAGATCACTTGGAATAATATCACAGTATGAGCTCATTAGAAAGAAATTTAAGTATATTACATGATTTTCACAGGTTGGAAAGATGGAATAAGGCAGCAAACTAAAGCTAAAAGTCACTATGGCAAACATTACATCATACCACCTTATTTTAAAGAAGAGGCATAAGTTAAATAGCACCAACAAGCTTTTGACATGCAGAAAATTAGCTCTAATTTCAGAAAAAATTACTCCCATAAAATGAGAGATACTCTCAACATAATCAACAGGATTGTAAATGTGTTGTAAATATGGCCTGTTCACTGAGCCAAAATGCAACTTTCATTCTATTATAGATTACTTATTTTATGAAGAAAATAGGGATAAGGGTTGTTGATTTTTTTTTTTATTTTTAATCCAGGCTGCTGCTCAAAAGAACGCAAAATAAATTAAAGGCTAGAGGGAGTATATCTTGCAAACAGGAAATAAAAGTGGTGATGGTGGTGCTTTCAAACATATCCACTAGTTATATAATAAAAAATAAATTCTGCAATCATATTCTGCAAGGTTAATTTTAGAGTACTTTTTCCCACAGAAGATTGAATAACTGTTGAAGCATGTGCCTATATTTCCAAACTGGTAGCACTAAGAAGAATCGACTTGTAAACACTTATTTTGTTATTATCCAATAAAAAGAAACACATTAAGTAGCTGATTTCTTCAGCTTTGGCAAATATTTACTTGCTATTCTAAAATAAAAGCACAGGAAATACTTGAAAATTTGTTATCAATTGCTCTTTACATTTTCTCTATGTGTAGATGTTCCCAGGTTGAAGACTAAATAGTTTCATTGACTTTTTGATGCGGTCTGAAATTTCCTGAATCCTCGCCAGCATTCCCCCAAAGTTAGGAAGTTGATAAAGATTGTTCTTGGTCCCCCATTGGTCTGTCATTTTGGGGTGTGGTGTTTTTTTGAGTTTATTTTTTTTACTCTTTGGTACAGTCTCTCCCACTTCTTTAACCTTTTAGAATGACATTGCTGCAGATCGCTGATGGTGGCTGACAGCACAAGCAGCTAAGAATTCACAATCTCTTTGCCTTTCTCCCGCTCTTTGGTTCTTTTTTGATAGGCTCTGCTCTTGCTAGGCACTGATGAACCGGATTGTGATCAGATGGTAAATGAACACATTTGGGTGTTAAAGGTGACTTTCTGGGTATCCTTTAACATAACTAAAACATAATTAAAGATTTCTTATCTCTCTTTGCGCCTAACACTGACTTGCACTTGGCCTACTAGGCAATCATCATTCTACAAGTTACATTGGCTTTCTTTTTTGCTTTGTTTTTTTTATGTTCAATGCAATGATTGTCTTTATGATTATTTCTTCATGATTTCTGTTATATGTTTCTTTCCTTAAATTTCTACTAACACATTCCAAGTCTAGCTCCTAGTTAGCCTGTATCTGAACCACTGTCATCGAATTCTATTTGGTACCTCACTTTAAGACTTTTTCTTTATTATTCCTTCACAAATATTTATTCTGTAATTGTGCTTTGAGTATTGCATTAGTGTTTAAAATCTTCCATACATATCTAATACCTAACAATGAAATAAAAATTACCTTACCCTTGTAAATTATCTTAATTAATTACCTTAACCTAGTAATAACAATTTGACCTGAATCCAGCTCTTTAATTTTCCATTACATTATATAAACCATTGTGAGGATGACTAAGAGTTTACTCAGTTCTTCTCCTTTCATTATCCATCTGATATTCCAGTTAGTCATTCATCCAGATGTTTAGCCAATATTTATTGATCTTCTCTATTTTGTGCAGGCACTAATTTCTGAGATCTTTTTTTTTTTTTTTTACTGGTCAGAAAACAGTCAATATGTTCACATTTTATTAACTACAGTATATACCCCAGAGCTGCCTCATTCCCTTCCCTCCCCCACCTTCTTCCCACCC